GCAACGCTTTGGTGCCTGTCATCGGATTCAACTTCGCCAATCTGCTCTTCGTCTACCCCTTTGCCGTCAATGGGACCTATCCATTGCAAATATATTCATCTGGATCAGGAAAATTAAAAGTGGAGCGTGTATTGCATGTCTTGCATTCTTGAGAACTCGACTGTGTTGCACAGCCAGAACTGTTCTCGACTGTGTTGCACAGCCAGAACTTGCATTCTTGTTCTCGAAAGTCGCTCCTTTTTCGTCACGCAAGAACCACGCAGTGTGTCATGTGTGCTACGCATCAGACGGCGTGAACTGAAGTTGTCATGCTTGGCTGCACTTGATGAAAGCGCCAGAGAATTGTCCATACTTTAGCATCACAAAGTTCCAGAGGATCCAGACATATTTGCAATGCATAGGGTCTACTTCTTCGGCGCTGCTTGGTTTTGTCGAACCGAAGAAACCACAGCGGAAGGATGTTGATTCATTTTTTTTTTGCGAAATGAGTGTGGTTAACTCAAAACCGCCTTAGAAAATAGTCATTTCTTAACGAATTCAGAATGAATTCAGAATTCCAGCAATTTTTCACTTTGGCTCGCTTTAGGGGCCTGAGTCCTCGCGCCTGGTTATCGATCGACGGAGCATCAGCGTGCCCCTAGGTGGCTACAAAACGGGCTTCGTCGTTGCTATTGAAAGCGATTTGGGGGTCACGCGCTTGATTTCTCAAGGGCGGCGGCCTCACGTACGCCACAGCGGTAGTTACAGCCCCGCTATTGCCGTTTTTCCTGCTACATGCGTCATGCCCACGATACTGCTCTAGAATGTAGCCGAGCGCGCCGCGGCTTCATACAGCGCATCGCAGCACAGGGCCAGCTTCAGAAGGCCGCCTGGGATTGTAGCGCACCCATTCGCGCCGAGGCTTCCCACAGATATACACAAAGCAAGCCCTCAGCCGGTGGCGAGGTTTTCGCGCGTGAACTATTTTGCAAGACGAAATAGGGCGCGTGGAGGCCCTTCGACTTTCCTGCTTCGGGCCGCCACTGTATAAGCGGCTTCACGCGCGAAAGACAGGGACTTTCTTAGCCTGGCAAGATTTTGCAGCGATGCAACGTCATTGCTGCCCCCAACATTATTGCCTTGGCGCTGGCGAACACTTGCCTCTGGCGAATGGGCCCTGATTCCCGGGTCATGAAAGACCGCAGGTCATAGCGAGGAACCACCCGGGCCTGTGTTTTTTTCGAGGGAAGCGGCCCGGCGTCCAGCTAGGCCATTGAAGAAAAGGCGGGCCAGCGAGCATCTTGCGGAAGGGTCCGGCACCAATTTCAAAATTAAGTTGGAAAAGAGTTGAAAAAAGTTGGAACAGAGATTTCAACTAGGGGAAAGCTTTCCAAGCAGGGGGGCGCTGCTTGGTTTTGTCGAACCGAAGAAACCACAGCGGATGTTGATTCATTTTTTTTTTTTGCGAAATGAGTGGTCCTCTGGTGCAGAGGACTCACGACGTCTAGGTTGTCTCAATGAAAGAACCTCCTAGAATGAACATGTATTTGTCGAAAGCGAGAAGTACAAACCTGGCCTATGGTTCAGAACATCAAGTAGGGAGGTGTTTATTGTTGGTCTTCAGAAATGTTTGCTACAACCACTCTTATGCACTACAATCAATGGTACGAAAAAAAAAAACGAGAAGGTCTCAAACCGCATTGCGTCGAGATGGAAGCAGTGCTTGCACAGAAGATGATGAACCGGAGGTAAAGGAGTTCATCTTCATGCTACAGAAAAATCTTGGTGTTCAGTTCATGTGGTAAAAAAAATTGGTTCTCTGCGATTCGTCACATGACGCCACCACCGGACCACGTTGAGAGAAGTAGTGTAGCTATACGTTGGAAATACCAGAATCAGAAATACTTCATTCCACGTAAGTTGTACTCTTCCTGATTCAGAATCAAACTCATTTTGTTCGAAGGCAACTTTTGCGATTTTTGCTCTCTCCAAAACCCCTTGCCCGCACAAGAACAGTTCCCATAGTGCGAAAAACTACAACAAAGCCACATCTTCTATATGTATTCTTCCCGCCCACAGTGGAGACTAGAGCTGCTAGACACGACCGTGCATAGTGCGTAGATACTGTAGTTGCTTGGTGTTCTCGTTGTAAAATAATCTCGTCAGGAGGTCGACAACTTTTTTCCCCATACCGCGACGTACTCAGAGTAAAAAAGGATCCTATAACACATCAGGAGCTTCTCACGCGGCTAGGAAGAGGAATATTAACCAGAGCAGTGCCTGTTTTCGTTGTTCTTCTATCTTTGGTGGAAGGTGTGCTAGCATCGACTGGAACAAGTGAAACCGAACTTTTTAGTACTACTAGTAGGAGAAGCGTGCGTAAGTAGTCTTGTTGTTGTGTAGTCCTCCGACTTCTAGTGTAGAAGAAGGTGGTAGAAGTTGCACGAACATCAAGAACGAAAACACAGAAGAACGCAAGTTAGTAGCTGCATCACAAAAAGCGAAAATTCCGGAAGTTTGCGACGAGCATCCTCCCGAGGTGGCTGGAAGCAACACCTGCGATCGCACCCTCTCTGACACTATCAAGTGCAAATATCATTGGGTCTGGAAGAATGCAAGTTTGTCATGCTTGTCTCGCATGACTGAAGCGTTTGTCATGCGTGTCCAAGAAGATACCCTTTTACTTGTCATGCAAAACGCACTTTGTCATGCGGAAAGCGCAACACTGAGCCGCGCAAATATTTCTCATACTTGGCTGTGCATTACAGACGAGCACTCACTATTCACAACTCAGCATTACAAGTTTCCAGACCGAGACATATTTGCATTTGATAGACACCTCCAGCCAGAAAATGCGGAAGACCGCTTTGATCACCGTATGAGAGTGCAAAACTCCCCCTCGTTCTCATTTCTCATGCAAAACCCCAAATTCAAGTGCTTCCCTTGTATCACTGTTATGCATGACATTCCGGAAGCCCAATCAGTACTACATTACGCGCATGAACTTTCCATGCAAAAGCTGCATCTCTGGCAGCGCTTGTGTTGCTGTTCAGGCAACACAAATGAGGGGGAGGGGGAGTTGTGCACTGTCATACACCGGTATCACCGGCCAGGACGGCTCCTACCTCGCGGAGTTTCTCCTATGCAAGAAAAAAACTGTGTAAGTGTAAATTTGTGTTGCAGAGGATGCAAGACACCTACACTTGTCATGCTGGACATGCATTAGAGGTTCCGTTCTTCTTCTAAGTGCTCTCACGTACTAGCTACGCATGCGAGGTTTTCTCTGTCATGCAGAGCAAATTTGTCATGCTGTTGCTTGAAGAAAGTTACACTTACACACTTTTTTCCCTGGATATCTCTTGGAAAAGGGCTACAAGGTGCACGGCATCATCCGACGAAGCAGTTCGTTCAACACCGGGCGCATCGAGCACATCTTCAACGAGATCACACTCCACTATGGCGATTTGGTGGACACCAGTAATTTGTGCTCCATTCATATCCAAGAAAAATGAAAAAGTGTATACATAGTGCAGGTGAGTCCAGCATGACAAATCTTGCTCCTGCATCACACACGAAGCCTGTCATGGAGAGCTAGTACTACGTAAAAGCACATAGCTATACGGTAATAGGATGGTATGGCTGGCTAGCATGACAAGTGTGACTGCGTGATTGCAGGTTTTGCATTACAGACTTACACTTACATACACACCCCTTATTATTCTTGCATAATTCTGGAGAAGGTCCGGCCTGACGAGGTGTACAATCTGGGGGCATATGCATTGCAAACATCCCTGGAACTGGATCGTGTCTGAAATAAAAGTGGAATGTTTGTCATGCACATTTTGCATGACCCACACTGTCTGTGATGTGTGACGTGGCATAAAAGATTGATTTTCTGAGGGCTTCTTGATCCCTGTTCCGCATGAGAAACAAATACTTACTCACCTCGTCTCCGTGAAGCAAATCCTGGAGTCCTCTTGGTCCTCTTGCTGGTCATCATGCAATACAGATTCTTTTACTTTCCAGAAGCAGCATCACAAGTTCTAGGGATGTTTGCGGGGCATAGGGCGCAGTCCCACGTGAAGGTCTCGTTCGAGGAACCGGAGTACATACGCATTGCAAATATGTCCCCGTCTGAATCTGTGATGCAATATTTGAAGGGTAACCAGATCTGTATTGCATGGACAGGAGTGAACGGTTTTTTTGTCATGCTGTGAAACTCAGTTTGTCATGCAATACACGATAGCACGATTCGCAGTAGTAAGTACCACACGAAAATAGAATTTGTGATGCGTTGATGCCGTCCCAAACCTTGCTCTGTCATGCAAAACGTGGCACCAACGGAATGCGCTGCACCTACTTTCCAGACCTAGACATATTTGCACCTGATAGTAGACCGCGCAGTGCGACGCACTGGGCACGATGCGCATGCTAGAGGCTTTGCGGACGTGCCGACTGGAAAAGACGACCAGGTTCTACCAAGCCAGCACGAGCGAGCTCTACGGTAAGTCAAAGTTGAGTTAAGTTCGAAAGGGGATCATAGTAGGTGCAGGTGGTGCCTCTACGACTTGTAGTATTGAGAAGGCTCCTTTTGATGTTCTAGTGCTATGCATTGCGCTTGATGTACTTACTTACTTCATGTAGCACCGTACTACGTCCTCTTCTGCTTGGAGGCACTATTATAATCGAAATGATCGATAAAAATCTGATTTCAAATCCCCCACATCACCTCAGGTAAAGTGCAGGAAATTCCCCAGAAGGAGACGACGCCATTTTATCCCCGTTCCCCGTACGCCGTGGCAAAAATATACGGTTATTGGGCATCAAATGTAAAAATGTCTGGGTCTGGAAGATTGCCAGGTTTGTCATGCACATTTTGCATAACTCCAGATGTCTGTGATGCATGCCCTGGCATGACAGATTTTGCGAGGGGTTCCTCATGCCTACACCGCATGACAAATGCTCTTTCCGTGTAGCAAAACTTGGACTCTCTCTGCTGCTCATGCAATACAGATTTTTTTAGGATCCAAAATCAGCATGACAAGTTGGATTCTTCCAGACCCAGACATTTTTACAATTGATATTGGGCCGTGGTGAACTACCGAGAGGCGTACGACATGTATGCGGTAAATTATCCTGATTAAAAATGTTCCCACACCAGAGTTATCATGCAAATCTGCATGCCAAAAAAGTTTACTCATGCGGAGCCCCATGACAAGCATTTATTAGTCGCGTTTCGTAATTTGTCTTGCTCCCATCAGCATGCTGCGCTAGATCTGTGATGCTGCTGCACTAACTAAACAGGACTGTACACTACGAGGACATCAAACTTGTCATGCGAAACAACCAGAGCTGGTTGATTTGTCTAGCAGATTTCCCATCGTGACTCTGGTCGTGTGGGGACGTTTTTACTCAGGATATAGATGGGATTTTGTTCAACCACGAATCGCCGCGCCGCGGGGGCACTTTTGTGACGAAGAAGGTATATAGGATGTGTGAAGGAAACTGAAACAGTTTCCTTTGTTTTGAATCGGTATAATAAGTACTCTTCCCTCCTGGTCGCTGTAGTACCTATGTAGTATAGTGTACATCTCTAAACAAGCTCCACATCGAACGACAGCCCGCATATGCTGTTGTTCATCAGCTTTTTTCATCTTAACACACGACCTTCTGAAGAAATCTTTTTTCGTACCAGCACACGGATCAAAGGGAAGTGAGTGAACAAATTCGCCGCTGGCTCGTACGTAGTTGTGCTGCTTTGTAGCATCGTTTCATCACATGCTCTTAAAGCTGATAGTACTCAAAATAAAAAAAGGTGACCACCGGTGTTGCGCAGATTTGCGCCGGGATCAAGGACCGCATCACCTTGGGAAACCTGGACGCCAAGCGCGACTGGGGCCTATCAAATGCAAAAATGTCTGGGTCTGGAAGATTGCGAGATTGGTCATGCTTGTCTGGCATGACCAAAAAGTTTGTGATGCGTGTCCAAGAAGAGACCCTTTTGCTTGTCCTGCAAATAAAACGCAGTTTGTCATGCGAAAAACGCAACACAAAGAAGCGCAGATATTTCTCATGCTTGGCTGTGCATTACAGAGCATTCACTACTCCCAACGCAGCATTACAAGTTTCCAGACCCAGACATATTTGCAGTTGATAGAGCCACGCCTACGACTACGTGCGGGGCATGTGGATGATGCTGCAGCAAGACGTGCCCGAGGATTTTGTAATCGCTATGAATTGCAAAAAAGTACTATCTGATACTAGGAGAAATCGCATGACAAACTTCCTTAGCATGATGAGAAGGGAAATTTGCAATGCGGATTTGATACCTTGAGAAGGATAACAGGAAAGTTGTATATGCATGACTGCAATTAGAAGTATAGTACCAGTGCGGTGCTTTTGCTATGCATAATCGCAACCGGGCGACAGTACTCCGTGCGCGACCTGTGCGAGCTGTCCTTCCGCATGTATCAAATGCAAATATGTCTGGGTCTGGAAACTTGTGATGCAAGGAAGGGAATAGTGCAAACACTCTAATGCGCTGCCCAGCATGACAAGTTTTGCCGTGGTTCTGACTTGCGTAATCCGCATAAGAAATTGCGTTGTTGCATGACAGGCAAGCGGAGCTCTTCGCGGCCACGCAATACAGAACTCAGAGTCATGCCAGACTAGCATGACAATCTCTCAGACCCACACATATTTGCATTTGATAGCATGGCAGGACACCCGATCCGATGGCAGGGCAGCGGGGTGCATATGGCGTTCTCAAATGTTTACTACAGTGCTCGCTGTCACATGATTTGCCATGCAAAATCCCTGTCTCTATCCGCCTGATGTCTACAAGATCACGCGCCATCGCACGACGAATGCTGCACGCATGAGGAAAAGATCCGTTCCAAATTTGTAATGCGAGGCACGCAAACTCCACGTCCGGCGGCCCCTATTTAGCTTCAGCTTCACTTTTGCTATTCTTGCATCACAAGTTCATGTGACAGTTATCACTGTAAGTAAGCCCATTTGAGAACTCCATAGTGCACGAAGAGGGTGTCGATACGGTCACGGGGAAGGTCGTCATCGGTGTCAGCGAGAAGTATATCCCACGAAAAAACTGTTTCACTGTGGTGATTTTGCGAGACCTGCATCACAAGTTTGTTACACATGAAACAGAAAATTTGCCATGCGCGGTTCCCAAGGGAAAACACGCTTGAAAATCCAATGTCTTGCAGGTGTAGCAAGACAAACATTTTGGTGTTTCATTTTCTGCATCACAAGTTCACAGTGAAACAGTTTTTTCTTGCGATAACGTACTACCGACCAACGGAAGTCGAGACGCTGTTGGGCGACCCAACCAAGGCGAAGAAGAAGATGGGCTGGAAGACGGAGATCGGGTACTGCTGATAGATATAAGTGGATAGAGGTATCCTGTGCAAAAGTATCGTACTCGTAGTAACTGCAGTCCTGCATTACAATTTTTTTTCTCAAGGTAAATCTGCATGACAGATTTTATTTCTGATGCTGAGGAAATTTGTATTGCATTTATACGAGTACGATACTTTTGCAATGCATAAGAAGCAATAAAGATGAACAATATAAGTCCACGGCTTCCATGTCCGCTAAGAACAGATACAGAGTGGGAGTTTCATTCCTGGGAAGCATTTTTTCGCCTTGCGGCCTTTTGGGGTTTTTTTCGTTGGCCGTTAGTTTTTTTCAAGGGCTTTGGCAGCACTCTCCCCCCGTGATTCTTGTGCTTGGCGGCTCGGCAAGGGGGAAAATTTGCTTACACCGGCGGCAGTTTTGGCACCCCGAAAGCCATTTCCGCCAGAGCAGATACAGATCGCGAATTGCATTCCTGGAAAGCATTTTTTCGCCCTGTGGACTTTTGGGTTGTTTTTCTTCTGGCCGTGAATCTTCTCAAGGGCTTTGGCAGCACTCTCCCCCCGTGATTCTTGTGCTTGGCGGCTTGGCAAGGGGGAAAGTTTGCTTACACCTGCGGCAGTTTTGGCACCCCGAAAGCCACTTCCGCCAAAGCAGATAAAGACCGCGAATTGCATTCCTGGAAAGCATTTTTTCGCCCTGTGGACTTTTGGGTTTTTTTTTGCTGGCCGCGAATCTTCTCAAGAGCTTTGGCAGCACTCTCCCCCCGTGATTCTTGTGCTTTGCGGCTTGGCAAGGGGGAAAGTTTGCTTACACCTGCGGCAGTTTTGGCACCCCGAAAGCCATTTCCGCCAGAGCGGATACAGAGCGGGAGTTTCATTCCTGGAAAGCATTTTTTCGCCCTATGGACTTTTGGGTTTTTTTTTGCTGGCCGCGAATCTTATCAAGGGCTTTGGCAGCACTCTCCCCCCGTGATTCTTGTGCTTGGCGCCTTGGCAAGGGGGAAAGTTTGCTTACACCTGCGGCAGTTTTGGCACCCCGAAAGCCACATCCGCCAGAGCAGATACAGATCGCGAGTTGCATTCCTGGAAAGCAGTTTTTCGCCCTGTGGACTTTTGGGTGTTTTTCTGTTGGCCGCGAATCTTCTCAAGGGCTTTGGCAGCACTCTCCGCCCGTGGTTCTTGTGCTTGGCGGCTTGGCAAGGGGGAAAATACTGCTTACACCTGCGGCAGTTTTGGCACTTCGAAAGCCATT